ACACCTATCCTTGTGTAGAGTGTGCAAGACAGACGTACCCCCTTCTACTGTGTGCATTAGCTGGGTTGCTATTAGGGATGGACCGATACTAGTATCAGTACCGATACCGAGTATTTGGGTATGTACCCGTACTCGCCCAAATGCTCCGGTACTTACCCCCGATACTGTAACATTCGGTCAGAGGGAGATCCCCCCTGACTGGCAATGCCGCAAGGGAGCACGGAGCCAACTTCCCAACCAAGCGGGAAGCTGGGCGGCGGGTCATGACCCGTCTCCCTGATTGGCTAGGAAGCTGGCTCCGCGCTCCCTCGCGACATTGCTCTGACCGGCAGAACCTAGAGCTGGCTTCCCGACCAATCAGGAAGGCGAGTCAAAATTCGAGGGTGGAGCCAACCCAATACTGAACCCTACGGACTAAGACTGGGGGGCCATTAGAGGGCGTGGGCCAACCCATTACTGAACCCTACAGACTAAGACTGGGGGGCAATTAGAGGGCGGAGCCAACCCAATACTGATCCCTACGGCCTAAGACTGGGGGGCCATTAGAGGGCGTGGGCCAACCCATTACTGAACCCTACAGACTAAGACTGGGGGGCAATTAGAGGGTGGAGTTAACCCAATACTGATCCCTACGGACTAAGACTGGGATGTCATTAGAGGGCGGAGCCAACCCAATACTGAACCCTACGGACTAAGACTAAGACTGGGGGGCCATTAGAGGGCTGACCGGCAGAACCTAGAGCTGGCTTCCCGACCAATCAGGAAGGCGAGTCATTACCTGCCCGATGCTGGTTAGGGTTGCCCGCAGTCGATCCGCATGGAGCCGACCAAAACAGCATGGAGCCGGCTTCCGGGCCAATCAGGAAGCCAGGCGTCGGGTTAATGACCCGTCTCTCCCGGCTTCCTGATTGGCCCGATGCTGATTGTCTGGAAAGCTAGCTTCCCGGCCAATCGGCATCAAGCCGGCCCAACAGCATGGAGCCGGCTTCCTGAGCAATCGATGAGCTGGGCAGCAGGAGATGGCACGCCACTCAGCTTCCCGATCGACCGGGAAGCCGGCTTCATGTTAGCGGAAGTATCGGTACTCGGTATCGGTGAGTACCAAAAGATAAATATCAGTACTCGGTACCGAAGAACCGGTATCGGTGCATCCCTAGTGGTCATATACACGGGGCCTCTTAATGGGAAGGTTGAGTGGTCTGCAGGCAGTGGCTCGGGAGCCTCACAGAAGGTGCGCGGTTCCTGTGTGTCCGGGCACTGCATGAGGAAAGACACCATTCAGGCGTGGAAGGATCCGCCATTAGTGGCCGGGGGTGGGGCTTGCGGTTTGTCCCTGGGTGGATGGGGCACATGCATACTTCCTCATGGAGCAATGGCCGGGACTCGCCTCTTACCCCTCGTGTGCTACACTGGTTTTACCCCAAGAAGTGTAACGAGTCCAATCACTGGGGCGTAAAGAGGACCTGTGCTTTCCTCACGCTTGCTGCATAAGAGGCAGAAAGAGTAGTGTGTGCCGAGAGTTCTCTGCCGCCCCGATTGCACGGCTGGTGCGCCCAGAAATCTCTACATCCACGGAGCTGTGCAAGCTCCACCCTTCCCGCATGTGATAGCACTCCGGCCTGGTGATTGGCTGCTTAGGAATGATGGTGACGCAGAAGGCGTGAGTCAAATGTGTCCCATAAGCTAAAAGTAATAGATCTTCCCCCGGGCGTTGAGACTATTCAGGACAAAGTGACAATTTCTGTAAACCTAACCCCAGAGGAATGGAGTGGAGGGTGCACCATGGAGCAGGTCGGTGGCTCAGAGGTTGGGCTAGGAAGAGACTCTGTCATTGGACCCTGTGGGTGGTTACTGTAGGACCCCGCAGGGGGGTACTGACCTAGCGGAACACATTTTGATATTTGCATAACTAACTCCTCCCAAGGGCCAACCCACTGCTTGCGTCAGGGCCGAGGGCTCTTAAAGGAGAACTATGGGGTTAAGGCTTTTCCCCATAGCTCTCCTTAGGGTAACGGAAGGACACAAACTAGCGTCCTCCCATCACCCTAAGCTCAGTATATAGGGAGCTGCAGCTCGCGGTATACTGAGACGCCGCAGCCGGAGCGGATCCCGACAATTATGTCTGGATCCGCCCAGCTGCGTGAGTGACGGCTGGCTCTTCCTATCTAGAGGCTGTACCCGCCCCCTCCCCCGTCCGTTCCGCCAGTCAGCGCTGGAGGATCGGAGCGGGGAGAGGGGAATCCAGCCCCTCCCCTGTCACAGCAGAGAACAGTGACAGGATCGAGAAGTGAGCGAACGCCGGTATGTGTTCAGACTAAGACTGGGGGGCCATTAGAGGGCTGACCGGCAGAACCTAGAGCTGGCTTCCCGACCAATCAGGAAGGCGAGTCATTACCTGCCCGATGCTGGTTAGGGTTGCCCGCAGTCGATCCGCATGGAGCCGACCAAAACAGCATGGAGCCGGCTTCCGGGCCAATCAGGAAGCCAGGCGTCGGGTTAATGACCCGTCTCTCCCGGCTTCCTGATTGGCCCGATGCTGATTGTCTGGAAAGCTAGCTTCCCGGCCAATCGGCATCAAGCCGGCCCAACAGCATGGAGCCGGCTTCCTGAGCAATCGATGAGCTGGGCAGCAGGAGATGGCACGCCACTCAGCTTCCCGATCGACCGGGAAGCCGGCTTCATGTTAGCGGAAGTATCGGTACTCGGTATCGGTGAGTACCAAAAGATAAATATCAGTACTCGGTACCGAAGAACCGGTATCGGTGCATCCCTAGTGGTCATATACACGGGGCCTCTTAATGGGAAGGTTGAGTGGTCTGCAGGCAGTGGCTCGGGAGCCTCACAGAAGGTGCGCGGTTCCTGTGTGTCCGGGCACTGCATGAGGAAAGACACCATTCAGGCGTGGAAGGATCCGCCATTAGTGGCCGGGGGTGGGGCTTGCGGTTTGTCCCTGGGTGGATGGGGCACATGCATACTTCCTCATGGAGCAATGGCCGGGACTCGCCTCTTACCCCTCGTGTGCTACACTGGTTTTACCCCAAGAAGTGTAACGAGTCCAATCACTGGGGCGTAAAGAGGACCTGTGCTTTCCTCACGCTTGCTGCATAAGAGGCAGAAAGAGTAGTGTGTGCCGAGAGTTCTCTGCCGCCCCGATTGCACGGCTGGTGCGCCCAGAAATCTCTACATCCACGGAGCTGTGCAAGCTCCACCCTTCCCGCATGTGATAGCACTCCGGCCTGGTGATTGGCTGCTTAGGAATGATGGTGACGCAGAAGGCGTGAGTCAAATGTGTCCCATAAGCTAAAAGTAATAGATCTTCCCCCGGGCGTTGAGACTATTCAGGACAAAGTGACAATTTCTGTAAACCTAACCCCAGAGGAATGGAGTGGAGGGTGCACCATGGAGCAGGTCGGTGGCTCAGAGGTTGGGCTAGGAAGAGACTCTGTCATTGGACCCTGTGGGTGGTTACTGTAGGACCCCGCAGGGGGGTACTGACCTAGCGGAACACATTTTGATATTTGCATAACTAACTCCTCCCAAGGGCCAACCCACTGCTTGCGTCAGGGCCGAGGGCTCTTAAAGGAGAACTATGGGGTTAAGGCTTTTCCCCATAGCTCTCCTTAGGGTAACGGAAGGACACAAACTAGCGTCCTCCCATCACCCTAAGCTCAGTATATAGGGAGCTGCAGCTCGCGGTATACTGAGACGCCGCAGCCGGAGCGGATCCCGACAATTATGTCTGGATCCGCCCAGCTGCGTGAGTGACGGCTGGCTCTTCCTATCTAGAGGCTGTACCCGCCCCCTCCCCCGTCCGTTCCGCCAGTCAGCGCTGGAGGATCGGAGCGGGGAGAGGGGAATCCAGCCCCTCCCCTGTCACAGCAGAGAACAGTGACAGGATCGAGAAGTGAGCGAACGCCGGTATGTGTTCCCTCACCTCCCGATCTACTGAGCCGACCTGCGACAGTCTCATTGTCACAGGTCGGCTAGAACTATGAGGTGAGTGACAAGCACTCACCTCATAGGTCTCCTTTAATGACATGATAAAACATTCACAAAATAAACATTGCGCTGTAATTTTTACCAACGCAAAATTTACGTAAATGTGCAGATTCTCTATTTTTACCTCAAAATATATTGAAAGTCTTCAGATGATATCACACAAGCGCGGCTTCTATGTTGAACGGATGCGTTTGACTTCAGGAGAGGTTCATTCCCCTTTCAGTGCTACGTTGTGATGGAGGCAGAGGGGGGGGGGGGAATAATTTTGCATAAATTGTTATTATAGCCTTAGGATAAGATTGAGACATTTGGATGCGAGGACACAAATAAGCCCGATGGCAACTTTGTCTGCGATCTCTAAAAATGTCTACTTGTCCAAGGACTAAAGCGGGGGCCTGATCTACTTGTCCAAGGACTAAAGCGAGTGGCCCAGTCTACTTGTCCAAGGACTAAAGCGGAGGGCCCAGTCTACTTGTCCAAGGACTAAAGCGGGGGGCCCAGTCTACCTTTCCAAGGACTAAAGCGGGGGGCCCCAGTCTACTTGTCCAAGGACTAAAGCGGAGGGCCCAGTCTACTTGTCCAAGGCCAAAAGGGGTGGGCCCAGTCTACTTGTCCAAGTACTAAAGCGGGGCCCCAATCTACTTGTCCAAGGACTAAAGCGGGGGGGCCCAGTCTACTTGTCCAAGGACTAAAGCGGGGGGCCCAGTCTACTTGTCCAAGGACTAAAGCGAGGGGGCCCGATCTACTTGTCCAAGGACTAAAGCGGGGGGGCCCGATCTAGTTGTCCAAGGACTAAAGCGGGGGGCCCGATCTAGTTGTCCAAGGACTAAAGCGGGGGGCCCGATCTAGTTGTCCAAGGACTAAAGCGAGGGGGCCCGATCTACTTGTCCAAGGACTAAAGCGGGGGGCCCAGTCTAGTTGTCCAAGGACTAAAGCGAGGGGGCCCGATCTACTTGTCCAAGGACTAAAGCGAGGGGGCCCAGTCTACTTGTCCAAGGACTAAAGCGAGGGGGCCCGATCTACTTGTCCAAGGACTAAAGCGGGGGGGCCCGATCTAGTTGTCCAAGGACTAAAGCGGGGGGCCCGATCTAGTTGTCCAAGGACTAAAGGGGGGGGCCCGATCTAGTTGTCCAAGGACTAAAGCGGGGGGCCGATCTAGTTGTCCAAGGACTAAAGCGGGGGGCCGATCTAGTTGTCCTGATCCCCAAAAAATTAATTTTACCCAAAACCGTATTTAGCAGTGCCAAGATGAGCTTCTCATTGGTCAGTGGCGCCGGGTGACCGCGCTGACCAACGAGTGCTTGCAATTTGCGAGCGAGATTCATAATACATGGCACAGGTGCAGATAGTACACCCGTACTGGTGGACGGGAAGGACCGTTCCCTGAAAGGTAAGTATAGCGGGAGGGGGAGGGGCCCAGATTTGAGCGGGTAATTACATTTTTCCAAATTACTTGGGAACGTGAATTTACCCTTTTAGGGCAGGTGCAGACTCGGGCGATCGTGTGCGGTTGCATGCGCGGTAATGGATCGCCCACTCCGCTCACACACAATGCCCCATGCGTGCAGATGGGGGGTGTGCCGGGGGTTTTTATTTTTTTAATGTTATTTTACTTTCTTTTTTTTTTACTTCAATATTGGTGATTTTTAATTCTCATTTATTTTTTTTACTTTATCGCCTTTTTTTTCCCCTTCCATTTTTATGTATTTACATTTTTAAAGGAGAAGTATGGGGTCGGGGTTAGGTTCCCCTAAGGGTCACGGGAGGACACAAACTAGCGTCACCCTGCCCGTGACGCTAGTTTGTGGCAGCACCATGCAATGGTGGGGTTCAGGAATGGAGGTCCATCCGCTCAGACTGTGGTGAGAAGTTCTCCTTTAATGTCAGGATCAGTAAGCTGAAGTCCGTGTCGGGGTCCCCCCTCCCCCGAGCAGCTTTTCTCACGCTTTGTACGGCTGTATGTCACATAAGGAAATCATTGATGTGCGTTGCTTGTGCAGGCCCTGAAACAACAACAGCAGCAACAACAGCGCAAGAAGCAGCAGCGCAGGCCCGTCATGCCGGTCCCTACCAGCCAGCACCTGCTAATGAAAACCGTCAAGAGCACCAGCAACATGGCAGCGGCCAAGCCGGCTCCGGCACACGGTACGTACACGGGCAGCCTGACCGGAGGCACGACTCATCCCTTAGAATAAAACTTCTTTTACTGCCGCCGGATATATCGTTATATCGTAATAAAAACATGAAATATTTTTGTTAATAATGAATATGGCCAATTTAGTGACCTGATACCTAAAACTCAACTCATTTTATTGGTTCCCTAAAAACGTTCCCCAGCAAGTGTTACATATAACATCTCAGGCTGCAATACTCACCTTCAATCATGAGTTGCCCCTCCCCCTTTAATACCACAAACTGTCCTCCATGTTAAATAAAACCCGCCATCACTCAACCCGGAAGACTGAGGACATACTGTGCGTGCAGGGTGTCGCTGTATAGTCTCTTTGCCTCGTTGAGGATCTCTTACCCCCGACATAGCTCTATTGACAGGTTGCGTGCCCCTCAATATACTCCAAGAAATTTATTTTATGGTACAGAACTCCCATTATAACATTTCTTCATCTCTAACGAGAGTCATGAACATACACAAAACTGCCAAAAGTATTGGGACTCCTTTACACGCACATGAACTTTAATGGCCCCCCAGTCTTAGTCCGTAGGGTTCAGTATTGGGTCGGCTCCGCCCCCCAAAGGGCATCCCAGTCTTAGTCCCTAGGGTTCAGTATTGGGTTGGCTCCGCCTTCTAATGGCATCCCAGTCTTAGTCCGTAGGGTTCAGTATTGGGTTGGGTCCGCCCTTTGCCGCTATAACAGCTCCGCCTCTTCTGGGAAGGCGTCCACAAGGTTTAGGGGTGTGTCTATGGGAATGTTGGACCATTTGTGAGGTCCGGTACTGATGTTGGGGGAGGGGCTCGCAGTCTCCGCTCTAATTCATCCCAAAGGTGTTCTATCGGGTTGAGGTCAGGACTCTGGGCGGCCAATCACGTCCCCCCCTCGTCCCCCCAACTCCCCCATCCGTGCACTGGTGCGCAGTCATGTTGGAACAGGAAGGGGCCGTCCCCAAACTCCTCCCACAAAGTTGTCGAAAATGTCTTGGTGTACTGATGCCTTAAGAGTTCCCTTCACTGGAACTAAGGGGCCGAGCCCAACCCCTGAAAAACAACCCCCCCTCCCACCGTTCTCCTGGCAACCGCCAAACCCAGACACGCCCACCGGATTGCCAGACAGAGAATTGTGATAGGTCACTCCAGAGCGCACTGTGCGCTTCAGCATGCGCTGACCGTGCTCTGTCATGTGACCACTTCCTGGCTGAGTTGCTGTTATTCCAAGTTGCTTCCACTTTGTTATAATACCAGTAACATGTGACCGCGGTGGAATATTTAGTAGCCGGGAAATGTCACGGAACACCTGAATCCAATGATTGGGAGGGGCCCAATACTTTTGGCAATATAGTGTATTTATAGCGACATGCCCCCCTCCGCCACCTCAATCCATATGGGTGACAAATGGCATCGCAGTCCCCCCACCTCTATCTAGGGACACTTTGAGGAAGATTCTCTGAGCAATGTGGCCAAATGACTTTCCTGTTTCTGTTTGTTTGCAGCGTGGGCAGCAAAGTGCTCCGAGGTGCAGACTAGGACTAATAATCAGGTCTCTGCCCCGGCCTCCAACCTGGCAAGTAAAACCAACGAATCGTTGCCCGGACTGGGAAAGAAAGGCTCGCAGAGGTCCAGCCGACTGCAGGACAGTAAGTGATATCACAGTGTACAGCACACAGACTTACCGAAGCCTCTGAAGAGACATTGTCATCTTCTCTGTTCAGGGTAAAGTAACCCCACCCTTATACACTAGTACTCACCCTCCCAGTACTCCCCCATCCCTCCTTTCTCCATTGCAGCTGGCAACAAATTCATGAGAACCAAAAGAAATGGCCGGTTCTCAAGCCCGTGTCTGTGTGCAGAGGTGCTGGCCAAAAGGAGCTCATCCGTGCTCCCCATATGTAACAAACAGAAGGACTGGCAGCACTCTGATGACATAAGTGTTGAACATAAAACCATAACACAGAAGGTTCTCCACAGCTGGAGGGCCGGAGTTTGGTTACCCCTGCTATACGGGGTCCAGTTGAGACATGTGGGCACCATAACAGGTGAGACCAGATTTCCTGACTGGTGTAATATATTGGAACATCTCCCTTTTACAGGACACTTGAAAAGGACCAAATGTGCCGAGATTGATGTAGAGACCCCGGACTCCATCCTGGTGAACACCAACCTGCGTGCCCTCATAAATAAGCACACCTTCTCACTGCTGCCAGCGGATTGCCAACAGAGACTCCTCAGGCTCTTACCCGAGGTGGACCGGCCGGTGAGATGCTGACTTTGTAAGGGGTGATGGACTGTATTAAACAGAGGTATAGCAAAAGGGACCGTATATTGGCTTTCAGGACTGTGGTAGCTTTTGGAGAAGAGGTAGCTCTTGGAGAGGAGGTAGCTCTTGGAGAGGCGATAGCTCTTGGAGAGGAGGTAGCTCTTGGAGAGAAGGTAGTTCTTGGAGAGGAGGTAGCTCTTGGAGAGGAGGTAGCTCTTGGAGAGGAGGTAGCTCTTGGAGAGGAGGTAGCTCTTGGAGAGGAGATAGCTCTTGGAGAAGAGGTAGCTCTTGGAGAGGAGGTAGCTCTTGGAGAGGAGGTAGTTCTTGGAGAGGAGGTAGCTCTTGGAGAGGAGGTAGCTCTTGGAGAGTAGGTAGTTCTTGGAGAGGAGGTAGCTCTTGGAGAGGAGGTAGCTCTTGGAGAGGAGATAGCTCTTGGAGCGGAGATTGCTCTTGGTGAGGAGGTAGCTCTTGGAGAGGAGGTAGCTCTTGGAGAGGAAATAGCTCTTGGAGAAGAGGTAGCTCTTGGAGAGGAGGTAGCTCTTGGAGAGTAGGTAGTTTTTGGAGAGGAGGTAGTTCTTGGAGAGGAGGTAGTTCTTGGAGAGGAGGTAGCTCTAGGAGAGGAGGTCATTTTTGGAGAGGAGGTAGCTCTTGGAGAGGAGGTAGTTCTTGGAGAGGAGGTAGCTCTTGGAGAGGAGGTAGTTTTTGGAGAGGAGGTAGTTCTTGGAGAGGAGGTGGCTCTTGGAGAGGAGGTAGCTCTTGGAGAGGAGGTAGCTCTTGGAGAGGAGGTAGCTCTTGGAGAGGAGGTAGCTCTTGGAGAGGAGGTAGCTCTTGGAGAGGAGGTAGCTCTTGGAGAGGAGGTAGTTCTTGAAGAGGAGGTAGCTCTTGGAGAGGAGGTAGTTCTTGGAGAGGAGATAGCTCTAGGAGAGGAGGTGGTTCTTGGAGAGGAGGTAGCTCTTGGAGAGGTGGTAGCTCTAGGAGAGGAGGTTGTTTTTGGAGAGGAGGTAGCTCTTGGAGAGGAGATAGCTCTTGGAGAGGAGGTGGTTCTTGGAGAGGAGGTGGCTCTTGGAGAGGAGGTAGTTTTTGGAGAGGAGGTAGTTTTTGGAGAGGAGGTAGTTCTTGGAGATAGCTCTTGGAGAGGAGATAGCTCTTGGAGAGAAGGTGGTTCTTGGAGAGGAGGTAGCTCTTGGAGAGGAGGTGAGGAGGTAGTTTTTGGAGAGGAGATAGCTCTTGGAGAGGAGGTAGCTCTTGGAGAGGAGGTAGCTCTTGGAGCGGAGATAGCTCTTGGAGAGGAGGTAGCTCTTGGAGAGGAGGTAGTTCTTGAAGAGGAGGTAGTTCTTGAAGAGGAGGTAGCTCTTGGAGAGGAGGTAGTTCTTGGAGAGGAGATAGCTCTTGGAGAGGAGATAGCTCTTGGAGAGGAGGTAGCTCTTGGAGAGGAGATAGCTCTTGGAGAGGAGGTAGCTCTTGGAGAGGAGGTAGCTCTTGGAGAGGAGGTAGTTCTTGGAGAGGAGGTAGCTCTTGGAGAGGAGGTAGTTTTTGGAGAGGAGATAGCTCTTGGAGAGGAGATAGCTCTTGGAGAGGAGATAGCTCTTGGAGTGGAGATAGCTCTTGGAGAGGAGGTAGCTCTTGGAGATGAGGTAGCTCTTGGAGTGGAGGTAGCTCTTGGAGTGGAGGTAGCTCTTGGAGAGGAGGTAGCTCTTGGAGTGGAGGTAGCTCTTGGAGAGGAGGTAGCTCTTGGAGAGGAGATCGCTCTTGGAGCGGAGTATTCCCTGAAGCAGGGATTTGGCAAACCTTCCATGTAAAATGTGATATACAGTAGCATACGTCTGTACTTAAACTGTTTGATAGACTTGTATGGGGAGTGGAAATCCATTGTGAAGCAAACAATAGCCACTTGTCACAGACCCCAATCCTAATGTGCAGCATTGTTGGGATCCACGTAGAGGATACAGGTCAGTCACTTCTCTGACATGTCTGTCTGTCCTCAGGCCGGTCCAGATGGGCTTCTAAAGCTGAACAATTCCGCTCTCAATAATGAATTCTTCACCTCGGCATCTCAGAGCTGGAAGGAGAGACTGGGGGAAGGTGAGCTCTCCACCGTGATGAGGCAACATTGTAAAAAGTGTGCGATGTGATAAATGACTCTTGTGCGCCGGCCGGTTTGGATGCACATAAAGGAGGGATTGGCATTGTAAAATGAGAAGATGTTTATTAATTAAATGAATACATTTCCAGTTGCCATGCCACCCTTCTGTAAATTCTTTGCAAACATTTTTTTTTAACCGTTTTGCTGTTTTGGTAGTTCGCTGTGCGGTCGGCAGACATTTATCTAATATAAGTTAGTGCCAGGCAAGGTGGAAGCATATGAGCAGTGCTGCTGAGCCAACTAATATTCCAATCATCTGTGCCTTGTCCTACCATTCAGTGAGTGGGGGGTGTGGCCAGCTATTGATTGACAAGCTACAGGCTCAGCGGTAAGCAGTGACAGATTGGTGACCATGCCCAGGAAGACATGAAAGCGGCCCATGAGCAGGACCATTCATGGAGGACAGCCAACCAGGAAGAAGAACAAAGCATATCACTGTCATCTGTTTGCTGGGCAGGAAATGGGCTTCCCAAATATATGGTCACTGTGATTGGTTATTACAACAGTCATGTGATTGGGAGCCCATCCTACCAGCTCCCGATTGTTTCAATGGGATTGGGAGCTGCGAGTGACTGCGTGGTCACAGTGTTGGGGGCACCCGATTGACATTGTGTACATGGGCCCTGAAAGGTAATTACACTGTAACACGGGGGTTGTATCTTATTTAGCTGCTCCTTCAGCTAATTATAAAGTGTCAAGCTTGTTACATTGTATCGGTTAGTGTAACACACACGATTACACTGATCACTCAGGACCCCGACTATTAAACTGACACTAGGTCCAGGTACCTACTCCTACCAGAATGCATAGAGGGGGTTGGCATTGTAAGGCGTACGAGGTAAACCCTTAGAAATTGGCTGAAGTTTTAGAATCCCTTTAGAGCAGTGGTTCTCAACCTGTGAAACCTTGGGACCCACATTTGTCCTCCGGTCATTAAGTCGCGACCCAAGTGGCACTGCAATGGAACGCACGGCATTAACGTGCTGTGTGCACTGATACGGGCGTACGAACTGTGAGTGGGAGGTGCGTTTGTGGTGCCATTCAAATAAATAACAACACAACTCACCTCCAGCACCAGAACGCATAGTAGGTGTGATTGCGTAGCACACTGCATTAAAGGAGAACTATGAGGTTAAGGCTTTTCCCCATAGTTCTCCTTAGGGTAACGGGAGGACACAAACTAGCGTCCTCCCGTCACCCTAGGCTCAGTATATAGGGAGCTACAGCTCGCAGTATACTGAGACGCCGCAGCCGGAACGGATCCCGACAATTCTGTCTGGAACCGCCCAGCTGCGTGAGTGACATCTGGCTCTGCCTATCTAGAGGCAAAGCCAGCTGTACCCGCCCCCTCCCCCGTCCGTTCCGCCAGTCAGCGCTGGCGGAGCGGGGAGAGGGGAATCCCCTGTCACGGCAGAGAGCCGTGACAGGATCGAGAAGTGAGCGAACGCCGGTATGTGTTCCCTCACCTCCCGATCTACTGAGCCGACCTGTGACAGTCTCATTGTCACAGGTCGGCTAGAACTATGAGGTGAGGGAAAAGCCCCTCCCCCCTCATAGTTCTCCTTTAATGGCACAGGACTGTTCGATTCACCCACTGTACTAGTGTGAACAGGCCCTCAAAAACACTAATAGACGCGCAGAATGACAGACACAATCTCACACACATACACACTCCAAAAAACAAATTTTAATTTTCTTTTTTTAAGACCCACCCAGTATTCCTATATTACCAGAACTGGAGTGGGTCCTCATCCTGGGGTCCAGTGCGGGCTTCTGTGCTGTGACGGAGCTCCATCCATATGTGCATCGCTTGTACAGCTCCCTTACATGCCCTGTAGAGGTGGCGGGAGCCAGAATGTGAGGTCACTCCGGTCCAGGCACCTCTACAGGACACGTGAGGGAGCTGTAAGCAATGCACGTATGGATGGAGCTCCCTCGCAGCCATAGCTCCAGCCCACCCCACCTCGAGCTGACACTCGGCGCCGGGCAGCATATTTTGAATGGCTGCTTGGCCCGAGAACTGACAGCGCTGTGCTAGGAGGAGGCTGAGGAGCCTCTCAGCTAGAAAAGTGGAAGGCATGCGGCGACCCGCTGAACACGGGGTCGCGACCCACCAGTTAAGAACCAAAGCTTTAGAGGGAGCAGTTGGGGCACATGGCTGCCTCCCCGTTCTGTATTATTATACTGTATTATTTTTAGAGTGTCATCTGTAATCCGATTCGGCCTGCTTTGACAAGGCTCAACCATTGTGCGGCACTACTAAGCAGAAAGCAGCGCCTGCATAATTAGACTTGACATGTTTGGGATCTTTTTACTTGACATCATCTCATCTTTTATATTTTACAAAAAATGAGGGTTTTATTTCTGTTTGTGTGCGGCGCCAATTCATTTTATTGTATTTATTTTTATATAATATAGATATATTGATAAGCAATTGCAACAGCATCTTTTTTTATTCTACAGGACTTCTGCTTTCTGAAAATATATAATTGAACAAAGTGCATTTAATGTGTATGCAGAAAAAAAAAAGCGACGGGGTTAAACTTTCTTTTGCCTTTAACAGGGGAGTTCACGCCGGAGATGCAGCTCCGAATCCGCCAGGAAATTGAGAAGGAGAAGAAGGTGGAGGCGTGGAAGGAGCAATTTTATGAGAGCTACTATGGAGAGAAGTGAGTTAGCACTGCGTTAGACTGAGAGCTCTGTACGGGGAGCCTTGATTGGTTCACAGTGTTGCCCCACCTCTCCCAGCATGTGTCTCTATGAAGCTGTGCTTTAATCCTAATTTGAAGACATATCCAGCTGCTTATAATAGCTGCGTCTAACCAGTTGTGGACACTGGGTGTGCTACACACCTTAAAATACTGATGCTGCTCCCCACTCTCACACTTGGGAGCAATTCCCAGCTGCCAAAATGACAGCTTAGGAGTACTTGCTGCGTAAGTACAGGAGCAGCAGAAGCTGCTGCTGTCATAAAATGGACCCTTTCACACAGTGTTCAGACCGGGATAGAAGGATACAAAGTAACATTGTTCAGACCTGGATAGAAGAATACAATGTAACATTGTACAGCCGGAGATAGAGGGATACAAAGTAACATTGTACAGCCGGACATAGAGGGATACAAAGTAACATTGTACAGCCGGAGCTAGAGGGATACAAAGTAACATTGTACAGCCGGAGCTAGAGGGATACAAAGTAACATTGTACAGCCGGACATAGAGGGATACAAAGTAACATTGTACAGCCGGAGATAGAGGGATACAAAGTAACATTGTACAGCCGGACATAGAGGGATACAAAGTAACATTGTACAGCCGGAGATAGAGGGATACAAAGTAACATTGTACAGGACCGGGATAGAAGAATACAAAGTAAAATTGTTCAGACCGGGATAGAAGAATACAAAGTAACATTGTACAGACCGGGATAGAAGAATACAAAGTAAAATTGTTCAGACCGGGATAGAAGAATACAAAGTAAAATTGTTCAGACCGGGATAGAAGAATACAAAGTAACATTGTACAGACCGGGATAGACGGATACAAAGTAACATTGTACAGACCGGGATAGAAGGATACAAAGTAACATTGTACAGACCGGGATAGAAGGATACAAAGTAAAATTGTACAGACCGGGATAGAAGGATACAAGGTAACATTGTACAGACCGGGATAGACGGATACAAGGTAACATTGTGCAGGACCGGGATAGAAGAATACAAAGTAACATTGTACAGACCGGGATAGAAGAATACAAAGTAACATTGTTCAGACCAGGATAGAAGAATACAAGGTAACATTGTACAGACCGAGATAGAAGAATACAAAGTAACATTGTTCAGACCGGGATAGAAGAATACAAAGTAACATTGTACAGACCGGGATAGAAGGATACAAAGTAACATTGTACAGACCGGGATAGAAGGATACAAAGTAACATTGTACAGACCGGGATAGAAGAATACAAAGTAACATTGTACAGACCGGGATAGAAGAATACAAAGTAACATTGTACAGACCGGGATAGAAGAATACAAAGTAACATTGTACAGACCGGGATAGAAGAATACAAAGTAACATTGTACAGACCGGGATAGACGGATACAAAGTAACATTGTACAGACCGGGATAGAAGGATACAAAGTAACATTGTACAGACCGGGATAGAAGGATACAAAGTAACATTGTACAGACCGGGATAGAAGAATACAAAGTAACATTGTACAGACCGGGATAGAAGAATACAAAGTAACATTGTACAGACCGGGATAGAAGAATACAAAGTAACATTGTTCAGACCGGGATAGAAGAATACAAAGTAACATTGTACAGACCGGGATAGAAGGATACAAAGTAACATTGTACAGACCGGGATAGAAGAATACAAAGTAACATTGTACAGACCGGGATAGAAGAATACAAAGTAACATTGTACAGACCGGGATAGACGGATACAAAGTAACATTGTTCAGACCGGGATAGAAGGATACAAAGTAACATTGTACAGACCGGGATAGAAGAATACAAAGTAAAATTGTACAGACCGGGATAGAAGAATACAAAGTAACATTGTACAGCCGGAGATAGAGGGATACAATGTAACATTGTTTTTGTTACTTTTGTCTTTCCTCTGTTTCATTCATTAGGGGTCTCTAACGTCACGTTTGCAACCCATTGAAGCTTCTCAAACACAGATGATATCTCAGAATCTTCCATGTTCATTCAAGCCCGGCAGAGATCAGATGTTTGCTGGTCTCCCTCCCCTCACTCCACTGACACCCAACTCACAGAGCGCCTGGGATACATAATAGGGGGGCGTTGTACGGGGTGTAAAAGTGATCGGGCAGCTGTATATCACTTCTATATGAAAGCTGAATGTCAGCTGAGGGAGTGTAGTAGACACACTTTCAGCTTCTATAGCAGCCAGGAGTGTGGTTACAGCTCCCCGCTGTCGCAGAGTAGAGTCTGGATGCGCCATTGTATCCCCCGTGATGCATGCAGCGATGTTTCCAGACAGACACAGCTAGTAATAGGAGTCACCTCATTAACAAAGGTGTTATTGATTTTTATGGGATGCATACCTGAGTGTTTCTTTATTTTATCTGCCTTGTTGTTTGTCTTCTAGTTCTGGCCTGACTATGGAGGAATTGAGTGATATGACAGCAGAAGACAATGACATCAAAGGACAAATATTCCCATCTGTAGAGCCCGCTGCGGCCGAACCTGAGAGAAAAGCGCCGGAGGATCGTCTGACTGCGAAGGCTGAAAAAGACCAGGAGAGCCCCCTGAAATCTCCCATATCCGAAGTCACAGAAGCCATACCACAACCCCAACACACTGACACCAGCACCACCATCAATGCCGACTCCCTAGAAGACTCCAAGATGGCCGAAGAAGACAAACCGGAAAGTTCCGCTGAGAAAATGACCCAGACCACAAACACATCCTGTGATGAGTCTGGAGACACGGAGCCAACGAGCCATACCTGTGTGACCCCCAGCAAACCAAAGAGCCCGTCCCCTGTACAATTACCCGGAAGGCCTGCAAACACTGAGATCCCGCGACAAGACTCGAATGGAGCGGGGACTCCGGAGAAGTCACCGGAGAAGGTGGAGGCTGTTGTCACCAGCGGAGCCAAGAGACGGCTGGATGTGGGGGAAAGCAGTGTGGCCAGTCCGGAGAAGAGTCCACGTTTGATGGCACTTAACCCAACCCAGCAGCCATTTCGTGCCTTATGCAAGCCCCATACAGAGACAGCGCAGCAGACCCCAGAGCAGAAAGTTCCACCTCTCAAGGTAAGAATAGCGTGTTGGCTGCTGTTAAAGTAGATCCTTCAGTATCTGCAGGGCTGGAAACATTTTAGGGGGTCACACCATTAGTCAAAAATGTCACCAGCCGGCATGACCGGACTATCGCCTTTCAATTTATGTAATGTACATAAAAGTCGGGGTCACGTCGGGTATATAGACACCAAATATGTCAAGCCTTAAAATTGCGCGCGCCCGCAAAATCGCAAAAAAAAGACCAAAAAATTGTCCATAGGCGACGCTTAAAACGCTTTTACTGCTCATCAGTTTAGTGTTATCAGTGATTAATGGCCCTAAAATTATTGCTCACACTCCGACGTTCGCGGTGATATGTAACATGTGCGGCACAAGAGGCACAATCGTCATTTTTGCATGTA